GGTGGCTGAAGGGCACCGAGATGCTGACGTTGCTGTTGCTGTTGCTGCTATCACTACCACCACCAGAAGCGAAAGTAAACGTCAGCGCCGAGGCGGAGCCGACGATCTTGGCGTACCAGGGGTCCGCCGTGTCCCAGAGGTACAGGGCCAGGCGCTCGTCGTACGCGACGGGCAGCCAGCGGGCGACGGCGTCGCAGCTGCTGCGGGGCAGCGCCAGGTAGGGCGCGCACGGGTCGACGCTGACGTTGAGGGAGGCGCCGACGGTCGAGTTCTCGGCGAGCAGGCCGGCGGCGCGGCGGGCGCCGCCGGCGAAGGCGAAGGCGAAGGGGGAGAAACCCTCGACGACGTCGATGCTCAGGTCGAGCAGGACCACGGGGCCGAACTCCCCCCGCGCCGTCAGGATGTCCCCGAGCACGCGCGACCGGTCGTACCCGCCGAAGTACATGGACGGCTCGGGCCCCGCGCCGGCCGCCGCGGACCCCAGGTGCAGGCCGAAGAAGTTGGACGTGGTCAGGCCGGCCTTGCGCAGGCCGGCGCCGATGGTGGTCCCGGTGCCGTTCTCGTGCGCGTTGGTCGGCTTGCCCTGGTCGCCCATGGACAGACACCCGACCGACAGGGGGTAGGTGTCATCGTCGCCGTCGCCGGGGAACTTCACCACGCCGTCGTCGACCAGCGCCAGCCAGATGTTGTCGATCGTGTGCGCGGACTCGGTTAGCTGGACGTCGTCGAACCACGAGACCCAGGGGTGCGTCACCTTCATGTCGAGGCCGTCGGTGAAGCTCGAGGATGTCGACGACTCGTTGAAGGTGCTGCCGGCGCCGCTCGCGCGCGCTCGCTGGTACAGCCCGGCCTTCTCGGCGTAGCAGGGGGTGCCGTTATTGTTGTCGCAGTAGGCTTTGGTTATCACGTAGGTGCGATCGATGGCTCCGCCGGGGTACGTCGCGATCTGCTGGCCGTCACCGAGCGTCATCTGGATGGCCGGCCAGGGTCCATCGGGCCCGAATGTCTGGTTTGACCAATTCACCTTCTGAGGGGCTGTGGACAGACACTGCTGTGCGTGCCATGACAGCCACAAGAGCCCTATCGTATCCTTCCAGTTTCGTAGCATCATGATGAGAAGGCTGTTAGGGAGCGACTCATATGATGGTCCCCCGGCAGATCAAATGTCAAAAAGGAAGACCATCAATTAAAAACAAGTCGAAGGTGCCGCCGTTCGGGCCCCTGACTGAAAAGTGGACGGACCTTCTTCGGCTCACCGTCCTCGTGCCGTATGTAGGGACCACTGAGGATACGGAAAGCCTCAATCGGAGGGAGTCTCGAGCAGTAGACTGCTGCTGCTACTACTAGACAAGTCAGTCACATTGGAGTCGTGAACACAAAAATTTGAGGCGAGAGAAGAAGGGAGGAGGGAACTAGAAGCAGCAAGACGGGGAGGAGACCTGCTGAACAGTGAAGGCCATCCATCATCTGCATCATCCGCCATCATTACACCGCATGGACATGGCGTGTGCAATCTGCCACATCTTTTCTAGGTAGTCCTATCATCCTGGGATATCCACGTTAACAACAGTACGACCGGTCGCGATATTTTCTTGCGTATCTCTGCCCTATTGGGCGTGTTGGACATGGAAAGCACCATTATTCAAGCGGTCATGACCGTCATGTCATACCTGAGCTGACATGGTTTCAGGGGTGCAGCCCAGCATCGCACCAATCAGCTGGACCGACAGGGTCTACCTGGGTAGGACGGTGGCACTGCACTACGCCAGTCAGCCAGTGGCTCACGGCCTCGGTCACTGGCGGAATTCAAAGGTCCTACAAGTTTACGGGGTACGAGCTTGTAAGTAAGTTCAGGTTACAGGTACGCCATACTCGGTAGCTCCGTAAATGTTGCCGGTAACGAGGAATATCTATTAATAGCAATTAGGTAGGTAAGAAAATCATAGACAGTGTCTCGCTTCGTAACATCTGCTTCGTCGCACAAGGTTGGTTGTGTGTGAGATGACCAACAACTTCGGTCCCGAAAAGCCATCAAGTCTTATTAATATCCATCACAGACGACCGCACTTTGTGGCTCTTGAATCCGCCCCTCATGCACCTGAACCTTCATAGCAAGCGAAGGTCGATAAACCGTTGACCGGCGTCCATCACTGAGTTCGCCCGAGCCGCCGAAGCTGGGCCAGCGGACGTTCTCCCCGGCTCTGGGGCCTCTGTCCGTCCGGGTGTCTAAGCCATAGCCGGGGCCTTGACCATTCACCGCTCCTCCCCCGGGCCCCCCTGCAGACTGAATGGCATCCATCTTTGGCTTCTCGGACTTGAACTCATACACGAGAAGACCAATCGCAATAAAGAATATACCCCCAAAAGGTATACCTAGCACCAGACCTAACCCCAACTTGAACCCTGTTGACAAGCCCATATTGCATGTACGTATGCTTCGGGTTCTGAAGACGAAGTAGCTTTCGCAGTCAATCTTGCTAGACTCTCGTGTCAGCGCTTCAAAGTTCCACCAAGGACTGATGGGACATGGACCCCCACAGGTGTGATGACTGGATCAAGATCTTCCCATGAAGATCGTCTCGATGTAATGGCCTGCGTGGCGCAGAAAGTGTATGACCGAGTATCTTGGAAGAGTAGTCGAAAGACACAACTGAGAATGAAGTGAATGGAAAAAGCTCCCACGAATCCGTCGACCTGTCGTGTATGTGTCTGTCGAGGCATAGAGGATGTGGAGGAAAATCCCTCTTCTCCTCAGTCACCCACGAACACGGCGCAGACTTTAATAACCCTCGAGGTCTCGAGGACTTCTTTGTTCTCTTCGCCGCTGGTGCACGTTCGAGTCAGCGATGTATCACAGGTCAATGTGGGTAGCCAACACTCAGGGGAGATAATACATAAAGAATAAAGAAGAGAGGCGCTGTGTGTGATTCACACTGTTGGTTGTTATTACCAACCAACCAACCAACCAGCATGTACAAGAATATCGTAATTGATGACACTCAGAAGGCATTGTGTGAATCACACGGCAGAATTTATCGGAGTGTTCGGCCTACTTCACCCCTTAGAACTAGCTGCTCGCCCAAGATATTCCTAAGCTCGCGCTTCGATCCTTTTTTTTTTCCGAACCCCCACAGAGCATTCCGTTCTGACTACATTCCACCACCTAGGTTCCTTAAGCCCGAGCTATTCAAGCACGCCTGGTCGTCTCGGCGCGTGGAATTAGAGGTCTCGTTTACGATCTTGTCGAACTGCTACCCCTTTTTTCGGTGCGGGAAGCATCAGGAAGAAGAAGCTTCTCCCTCCAGATGATTGATATGAAAAGGGGCTCAGCGTATCCGAGATGTCGTAGAAGACGGTTCTGCCATGGCGACAATGTGATGACCAATATCGTTCCCGAACGTCTCTCTCCTGACGCCCACGCAAGCGCAGAGACCCCTCGCAGGTGGGTAGCGATATGCTGTTCTCTTCCGTATCCTTCCTGCAGTATATCTCTTACCTTACTGCTCAACATACTTCCTCCCTCCTCCTCCTAATCTCCCACGCATGAAATCCTCCTGTCCTCTCCTCATTCTTCAATCTTGAGTCCCAAGAAACCACCAGTTAATCAGAGCCCTTAGCAACCCCCTGACTGGCGTCGCTTTCGAAGACTTCCGTCCAGCAGGAGGAACGTTACCTCAGCATCTCCAGCATGGAAAGTACCATCATACCCTCATCACTTCAGAGTTCGCGCATCCACTCTCTTCATATAGCATTGTACGCTATCGCCCTTTCCTTCTTAGCCACCGCTAGCTCGATCGACCTGCTCTTCAGATGACGAAGCGGAGAGATATTGTCCTCGCGTGCGTGAAGAAGGGGTCCCGAGTCGAACGAGGGTCTACTTAATTTCACGAAGTCCTCTCCCGTAACTCCCCCCTTTTCTTTCTTTGACGAGACCCGGGGCGCGGAAATCACCATTCTTCCACCTCGTCGAGACATTAGATGGCAGCGTTCTCCCTCAATTGTAATCCCTGAGATTGCGATTGAGGCGAGGAGTCTTTGTTATACGGATGCGTACGGTATCGGGGGCTTCAAGAAGAATAGTACGAGTGATACAGACCACCATTCTTGAAAAAAGAGGTTATATGGATGCGTCGGGCGAGACTGAGAAAAAGGGGAGAGGGAGAAAGGGAGAGGGTGTGCGCTTGATTTCACCCATATCCCAGAAAAAAACTCATTCAATTTCTGCTTCCCCTTGTCGTACCCATACATGCATCTATCATCTTCCCTGCAACACAATATCTAAATGGGGGAACTTTCTCTCGGATATCATATCTCCTTACCACCATCCTCAAAGACGCCTAAACACCGAAAATCTGCGCCTAGGGCTAAACCAGTCCATACCACGAGGCTTTCAACAAGATTTATTTAATTCGGGGTCTTTGGGGGTGGAGAAAAATCTATTTCCCGTGGAGAAAAGAGAAGAAGACAGACTGACCGACTGATTGACTGAATGACGACTTCTCAAGATTTCACCTCCTTGCTCGGTTAGTTAGCTTCCTACACCATCTTTCCCTATCTTAGGAAATTACTCACCTGCAAAACAAATTTATCCAAATCATCGTATAAGATAGACTCAAAATAAAAAGTCAGTTCCCCAGCTGGGTAAAGCCAGAAAGTGAGAAGAAGTAAAAGGAAAATAGTCTCCTTTACGCTTCCCCCCCCCCCCCCCCCCCCCCCCACCCCCACCCCGCTCGATCGTGGCACAGTGCAGTGTATTAAGCAAGCGAACACCACCAAAAAAAAGAAAGAATTAACTAGCTCTCAGCTGGTCTGGTCCCACATTAAAACACAACAAGCACTAAATCAATCAATTCTTTCTTGATCTTCGCTATCTCCCCATCCACTCTAACCTATCTAACCTACCTCCACCGGGAGTCAGTCCGGTCTTTCCTCGGACCAAAACTACCCCACAGCCTGGTTATCTGTATAATCCTAAAAAGATAACATTTGCAACTAATCATGGCACAGTGGCTGAGTGGTCTAAAGCGATAGACTCGAATTTTAAATTCTTGATATCTATTCTCTTCGGAGGCGTCCGTTCGAATCGGGCCTGTGTCGTTACTGTAGTTGTTTTACACCGTTTTTTTTTTGGTTTTGATTCTTTCTTCCCTTTTTTTTACGGTTGATTGACTGATTGATTGATGGGGAGAGAGGATGGGGCGCAGGGGGGTTTTATTTTGTATGTCCATCTGTCTATCGGCTGAGAAAAAAAGAAAAGGGGGACTAATCAACATCACATACATCATTCCCTAATCGATTGCCTCGTCTTCTTTTCTTCTCTTTTCTTCTTCTTCTTTTCCACGAATCTTGTTATATTTTATTCTTTCAGCATCAAAACTAACAAACCTCTCACTCATCCCAAACATGGGTAGCTCACCCCAACACAGCTCAGTCCAGCCAGACCCAACAACCCAAACCCTCCAACGCGCCACCGTCAAACGCTCTCTCGTACATACCAGTCAGTTCAGTCCAGTTGCTTTCAATATATATATATATATATATAGATCAATAGCTAGCGTCAATCTGTCTCTCTCTCTCTCTCCCTCTTTCTCTTTATTCCCATCCCCCGTCTATGCCGTCAAATGAATCTACTCGACTCGACTCGACCTGAATGAACTAGACCTTCTCGAGAGGAAGACCGATAGAGATATGTATGTATGATGGGTGGGTGGGTGTAGATATGTTGTCTTCACACGCCATCACCATCACCATCACCATCATCGTCACCATTTCCCTATCTCTGGGCCTCCTCTTCTAACTCCTCAAACGATCCTGTAGAGACAGATAGACAGACAAATCTGTACTACCATACATAACGTCCACCCTTCTTCATTAGTCATACAGTTCATACAGTACAGTCTATAAACCCATCCACCCCATCCCTTTTATCTCTCTCTCCCCCTTTCCCCCTCCCCCCCCTCTCCCCTCGCTCCTGTCCTTCTACCGCCCTCCCATCCAACTTCCTTCCTTCCTTCCTTCATTTTTTCCTTTCTTCCTTTTTCCCCCCTTCCTTCCTTCCTTTCCTCTCCCCTCCCAGTCCATCCATCACCATCAGTCAACATCATCATCATGGTCCATCCATCCAATTTTGTCCATGCTCATCCATTATGTTTTTATTTTTTAGACTATTCGAAGTAGGAGGATCGCTTGCAGTGTGCAATGATATATATATATATATCATCCACCTGGTCGTCGTCCAATCCATCGACGTCAAATTGCCGCAATAACAGCCAAGGGTGAAATTAGGCGGCATGAAATAGTATCAAACTTTGCCGGTCTCTCTTTCTCTCTCTTCTCTCTCTCTCTTCTATCTTTCTCCCTGTCTTCCTCTCCCTCAAAGGACAGGTAAATAGAATTCTGCATGGGCTACCTCGTCTCATCTCGTCTTGTCTTTTCTTTATCATTATATCTCTCTCATATCTTATCTTAATCCTCCTCCTTCCTTCCTTCTTCTTCTAATCCGAAAACCCCTGACCAAAAAATCTATATAAAAATTCGAGACGTCCAAAACGGATGCGTAGACGGATTATTGTAGTAAGAGAGAAGCACAAAACAACAGATGGTGGATGGATCGGTTGGTTGATTTGATTGCTTGGGTATGTGTGGTTCTCGAGATGCAAAAGAAAAAAAAATGAAACCTCCGACCGACCTTCCCTCTCTTCCATGGAAATCAGGAGTTAAAATAAAAATAAGGACGTCAAGTGGTATCTCCTCCCCAAAGAAAAAAAATGCGCTCTCGAGTTGGTAAGACGAACAAAATGGTGGCGGCGTGCGTTATCCTGGATATATATAGATGGAACCGGGCAAAGCAAATTCTTTCTTTCTTTCTTTCTCAATGACGCTAAAATTTGGCAAACAAATATTACTGCCGTTCGTTGCGGGATCTGACATAACTTCTTTCCTTCTCTCTCTCGATTACATTCTTGTTTCTTCCCGCAGGCGACTCTTGGAACCCTGCTGGTTCAACATCATGTTCCCCATAAACATGGAGCTCTCTCTCCTCTTCGCCCTGGCGTTGAACGGCTGCTCATAGGAGGGGGCCGAGCCCTCGCCGTAGTCCTGCCCGAAAGAGCCGTAATGGGGTTGGTCATACGTTGGTTGTTGTTTCACGCCAGGGGCGAACATCGAGTTGGGATCGTAGCCCTGGGGAGCGGCAAATCCGCCCTCGTATGCCGGGCGGAGAGATGTGTGAGACCCGTTGCTATGTTGCGCTATGTACTGTTGCTCATACGCCTGTCGGGGTGGAGGGGTCGCCGTCGACCGCATTCCCGAATTCATCATGGGAGGGGGCGTCGGAGTTGAGCGTTGTTGGGCCTGTTCCATCAGCCGTTGCCTATGAGGTGAAGCGGTCCCGGCAGTAGAAGGCCGCCGGGGTTGTTCGGCGGGTGGGCGGGCGTCTCCGTCTGAGGGAGATGGAAGCTCATATTCTTCAGGGTCTATCCCAAAGACACCTTCATAGTTTTGCAGAAGTAAGGCAAAGACCGGGGCTGGGATGTTCAGGGTGGGTGAGAAGACGATGCCCACATTGCGAACAGTCATCTTATTTATGTCTGCATTGTTGATGATCTTGATCAGGAAAGCGATCAGATACTTGAGCAAAGTTTCGTTGGCAAGCGGAAGGCGTTGCACCAACTCCGACAACGCCATGATCTTCTCTCGGTGGTTGGACATCTCCGTCACCGCAACAAACTGCATGTGCAGATCGCGAGTGAGGATTGTCGTAGGCAGCTCGCGAAGGTAGAGCTTCAGCAAAGAAGCGACTGCGTGGATGTCGTAATATGTCTCATCAGTTATGAGATTGACGTCGCCTTCCGTGTTGAACCTCTCTCGCAGCTGCTTGATGACAACATTAGAACCGCTCAGTCGGAAAATACCCTCCTCCAGAATCGCCCTCTTTGCATCAAGATATTGTATGGAGCGGTAGACCACGGCTGGCAAGGGAACATTGACACCATTTGGACCATTGAATCGCACGGCATCGGCTAGTGGTGCGCCGAATACTTGTCGTATTGGCCCACGTATTTCACCTTGATTGCCATTTCCTCCATACAAGTCCTGATCCTCGGAAGACGAACGTGTCGTCTTGGGGCCGAAACCAAAGAAACTGCGCTTCCTCTGCTTCTTCTCTTCAAGCGTCGGCCCAGGCGGTACCAGCGATGATTTCCCACCCCAGGTGGCCGAATCCGAAATCAGTTGAGGGTCTCTCGGTGCCGATATTGCATGCTTCGGAGCGGCCATCTTGTTATCATGGGGGTCGGGTGAGGTGATACCTCCGCGTCGTGTGGGTACGCCTTCGGGTAGATCGCCCTGTTTCGTGGAAGCATAGCTCATCCCGATGAGTCCATCCTGGCTGTTACTCCGATGCTCTTGGTTCTTGTTCTGACCGTACATCTTCTTTTTGGCATTCATCCCGTTGACATGGGAGCCCTTGTCTGCCGCATGCCGTTCCTTAGACTGAGAATCGGCCTCCTCAGGGTCACGGTAGTCAATCCACCGCAGGAGAGCCTCTACCCATTGATCGCGTTCGGTGTCGCTCTCTGCGCATAGAACGTGCTTCACATGGCTGCTCGAGTCTTTCTTCTTCGGCTCAAGCACCAAGAAAGCATGGCGATACTGGTTATCGAGCTCGTCGTCATTGGGTCCTCTTGCCGGTGAATCATCATTCGGTTGCTGTGGCTGTGACTGCTTTCCAATCTGCGCATTCTGAAGCTTGATCGTCCCCAAGTGAGCACCTCCTGGAGTCTCGTAGTATTTCAGATGAGGCCCGTCAAGAACAAAATAGCGAGCTTTCCAACCGCCAAAGTTCTTACCCCTCTTGGTCAGATACCCATTCTTGAACGGTCTCCCACCAGGTCCTGTCTTCTGTGGCGATTTATCACTACCCGCGTCGCTTACCGGGGAGTTGTCCTCGACGTTGGGTCTCAGTGTGTTCGTCGACAGATATCTACACAACTCCAAGGCGGTCGGCGTATCTAAAGGAGTATTGAGTAGTTCGTCCAGATACTGGTCCAGAACGACACGCCGTGCATCGAGCTTGGCAGGAGCATGTCCACTAAACAATGACCTGTCAGGCGTTTTAGCAGTAAAGGCCGCACATTGCTTCATCATCTGATCCAGCTTGCCGAACGAGGCAGTATCTTTCTCTACCCTCCATAACTCACCCCGCTCCGACCTCGAGTGGATAGCCAGAGTGAATACAGGGTCTTCCTCCAGCTGCGTCAGTGACATGAGACTAGCCCTCGAAGGTTTCATGCGAGACGATGCCACCCTGACCTCGACGGAAGGAAGGGCGTTCGGCGGTAGCAATAGATCGGGGTATTCATCTGAGACCAAGCCTTTATAGATCTTGGTACGTTCAGGGTGCCTGTCGTGACTTTCTGCGGGGCTAGGTTGCGAGGGCCCGGGTGAATGACTCGGGATGCTCAGGGGCTTGGGAGAGGTAAGCTTGAGGGCGTCGGCTGCAGGGGAAGGCGTAGACAAGGAAGTATTCGGCGGGAGCGGGATCGGTTGTCTCGGTGCGCGAGGAGATAGTGGCACTGCGGAAGCGGCGATGCCACGTGGAGACAGTGGAGGGGAGGTGAAGGGGGATTTCATTGCTGTTGGTCGGGGGCTGGATGGCAACCCAGGACTCATTAAAGGAGGTGCCAAGGCCACTTGCGGTTGCTCACTGCCGCTGAGAACACCAGCTAATGAGGCCGGAATGTTTTCGCGTGCCAACATCGGTTGAGCACTGACTAACCGAGGGCTAGCAGGTGCATCATTGTATGATATGCCAGCTTCTTTAGCGACTGGCGTTCCTTTCTGGCTGCCTTTCTTACTCTTCTTCGATAAGCTGCGGGCCTCGGCTTCCTTTTGCGCAATTTCTTCCCTCTCGCGGTCATCCTCCTCCCTCGTCCGTCTACGACCTCTCTTCTCGGGAATTGGAAGTTCGTCCACTTCTAACAAGGAGTCGTAGTCCGACTCGGAGTCGTCATCTTCTGGAGGCAGAGACATCTTCGACTCCTTGTGAAGCTGTAGAGGTGCCGGAGGCGGCTTGCGTGGAGGAGGAGCGGTGGGTG